TTTATTTTTTTTTAAAAAAATAAGTAAAATTCCGCTGAATTTGATTGGATTTTGGTTCTTATGTTATGTAGATGATCTGATCTGAAGCAAATCTCTTACCAACTTGGGCAGCAGCGAATCAACCGAATAATAATCTCTATGCTATCTTATGTGTTTATTGTATAATTAATCAGACTTACGTATTTCTTTTCCGGTATTATGACGAAGATCAAATATACTTTGTGGATTTGTATCAAAACTGGTTTCTTAGAGCACCATTAATGGAGGTTGCTTAGAGAGTTGCTTAGGAGGAGAGGGTTGCTTATTTTGAAGAGAAAGAGTGTGAAAAGTGCTTAATTAAGCATTTTTCACACTCTCTCTCTTCAAAATAAGCAACTCTCTCCTTTTAAGCAACTCTCTAAGCAACCTCCATTAATGGTGCTCTTATATGTTTGATTGTTTGAGTGAAGATACTGATTTTATTCGAACCGTCAATATTGTATCAGAGCGGCAGATGCTTTTGCTTTTGGAAGCTCTCTCACTGTCTTGTCTGCTTCTAGAAAACTAACTTTTGACCCTATATCACAAAGACTTAGACCATCCCCATTGAGGGATTATAAGGAGGTCTAAGAAGGGATCACACATTTTTCGAGATAAAAAATAGTGAATCCGCGTCACGTGAATTTGCTGCGGTGATACAGGATCATCATTGGTTCGCCACGTGGCGGGCCATGATTCGTTGTTTTTTTTTTTCGAAAAAGTCAAACGAAAAAATTAAAATAAAAAAAAAAGAAAATAAAAAATTGACTTAGAAAATTGTGCCAGAAGAGTATCGCTGATGGAAATGCTCTTAATCTGAAAATCATCAATAATGAAGGGTATAAAACAAAACTACGGAAATAAATATTACTAATCAAATAACTCATGTAATCCAAATAATTGAGTAGAATTTTAAAAATAAACTAGATATTGATCTATGCGCCCGTTTAAGTGTTAAATTTACATTTTTATAAATTAACATTTTTTCATAATTAAAGTTATATATTCCTTATATAAATAATGACTATTTGTAAGTCTTATACATCTTAAAACGGTTAATATGATTATTTTTGGTTATTTTTTTTATTTTAGTTTAGATTCAAAATACCTGAATTGAATCGGTTAATATAGTTATTTTTAATATAAACATCTGAACATATTTTGATATTTTAAATTTGTGGATATTTTAAAATTTTTATACATCAAAATTGAATCCATACAAATTTTATATTTAGACATACGATAAATGAAATGATTATTTAGAAAATATAATAAATGAAATGATTAGAAGTAATTAAAAATGGAATGAAAATGTGTAAAAATCCACTTAAAAATAAGCAAGTATAGTTTTGTACTTCTGTTTTAATATAATAAATTTTATTTTTCATTTTCAAGTAGAACTTTTTAACATTGTCTTTCTTATATATAAATAATTTATTATTGTGTTCAAAATAATTATTATATATAGAATGAAATTTACTATTACTTTTTATTATTAAAAATATGTTTTGTTGATAATGATTTCTCTACAGTAAAAGAATATTTTTCAACTAGAAGTTTGAAATAATTTGTATTAAAATGAAAAATTTATTGTTAGTTAAACATGTATTTTAAAATTGATTTAAAATCCAGTGCAATTGAATTTGTTATTTCATAAAGTACGATGACATCCCTTGTTATTGAAAAATATTTATTTTACAGATTTTATAGTGTTTCAAGTGTTTTTAAATTTTAGAATGAAATTTATAATTTATAAAAACAAAAATCTAAATCTCATAATTTGTTTATAAGATTCTAAAGCAGCTTAACGAAAATTATATCAAATTCTCAAATTAATTACCTAAAATCATCTAAAACACCATTAGAAATCAAATCACTGCAAAAATCAGTATTATTGAATTTTTCATTTCATAATTATAATTAGCTTTATTTTTTTCAGTGTCATTTAACTTATATGTTTTCAAATTCCAGAAATCAAGCAAACCACCGTACACTTTTGATGTCAAGTTTTTATTCACACAATATACAAACACCAATGCTTGAGAAAATTTGAAATTAGATATACACACAAATAACACACATATGCAATAAATGAAAATCTATTTACAATTATAATTTTACATATATACACTGCAAAATCTCAAGAAAAGAGAGAATAACCTTACATGCAGACCAAATTTAAGCAAAAAAAAGAAGAAAAACCTAACATGATGCAGTGTCTGGAAACAATCCACCCAAGTTATGTATACCACCAAAGCTGAGATCATTGTTTTGTTTATAGAATTTTAATTGAGTCTGGAAAACAAAAGACTACATATATAGTGGGATATGTTAAGTATGTGAATACTCCTTCCATAATGATAAGATTGTGTAGATATCAATTTGTACTAGGTTAATGTATATTTCGTATTTTGGTCATTGGACTTAAATCAATCGATACAAGAACTTATTTACAGCTTTCTGTTCAAACTCTAAAGGACGCTCTGTCCAAAACTTATTTAACCGTAGAGCTTTCCTTCTGTCTAAACCCTCAAATTCTCTGTAATGAAGAAGGTTCACTTAGTCCTCCACAGAACCTACTGCACAGTCAACTCCAGCTTCCAAATCTCTCGTCTCTCAAAGTCCGGCCAAATCAACGAAGCTCGCAAGTGTTTCGATTCACTACGCTTCAAAGCAATCGGTTCATGGAACTCCATCGTCTCCGGATACTTCTCAAACGGCATGCCAACAGAAGCACGTCACCTGTTCGACGAAATGCCTGAGAGAAACATAGTTTCTTGGAACGGTTTGGTTTCTGGGTATATAAAAAACGGGATGATTAGAGAAGCCAGGGAGGCGTTTGAGATGATGCCTGAGAGGAACGTTGTCTCGTGGACGGCGATGGTGAAGGGTTATGTGCAAGAAGGTATGGTTGCTGAAGCTGAGGCACTGTTTTGGAGAATGCCTGAGAGGAATGAGGTTTCTTGGACTGTGATGTTTGGTGGGTTTATTGAGGATAAGCGTGTTGATGACGCGCGGAGGTTGTATGATATGATGCCTGTGAAGGATGTTGTAGCGAGTACGAATATGATTGGTGGGTTGTGTAAAGAAGGGAGAGTTGATGAGGCGAGGGGGATTTTTGATGAGATGAGAGATAGGAATGTGATTACTTGGACGAGTATGGTTACTGGTTACTGTCAGAATAACCGTGTGGATGTTGCTAGGAAGTTGTTTGAAGTGATGCCGGAGAAGACTGAGGTTTCTTGGACTTCGATGCTTTTGGGGTATACACTGAGTGGGAGGATGGAAGAAGCTGAGGAGTTCTTTGAGGTGATGCCGATGAAACCGGTTATCGCTTGTAATGCGATGATTGTTGGGTTGGGAGAGAAGGGGGAGATGGTGAAAGCGAGGAGGGTTTTTGATGGAATGAAGGAGAGAGATGATGCTACTTGGAGAGGAATGATCAAAGGTTACGAGAGAAATGGGTTTGAGTTGGAAGCTCTTGATTTGTTTGGTGTAATGCAGAGAGAAGGAGTTAGACCTAGTTTTCCGTCTTTGATCAGTGTTCTTTCTGTCTGTGGAACGTTAGCGAGTCTAGAGTATGGTAGACAGGTCCATGCTCATTTGGTTAGATGTCAGTTTGATGTTGATGTGTACGTTGCATCCGTTTTGATGACCATGTATGTTAAATGTGGTGAGCTTGTGAAAGCAAAGCTAGTATTCGACAGGTTTCCTTCAAAGGATATTATCATGTGGAACTCAATCATTTCTGGTTATGCGTCACACGGTTTAGGAGAAGAAGCTCTTAAGGTTTTCCATGAGATGCCATTGTCTGGTACAATGCCAAACAAAGTCACCATAATCGCAATTCTTACTGCTTGTAGCTACGCTGGAAAAGTGGATGAAGGGGTTGAGATATTCGAGTCGATGGAGTCGAGGTTTTGCGTTACACCAAGTGTTGAGCATTACTCTTGCATGGTGGATATGCTTGGGCGTGCAGGAAGGATAGACGAAGCGATGAAACTAATCGAAAGTATGACTATAAAGCCAGACGCTACAGTTTGGGGAGCTCTTTTGGGAGCTTGTAAAACTCACTCGCGGCTCGATTTAGCCGAAGTTGCTGCAAAGAAACTCTTTGAGATTGAGCCAGAGAACGCTGGTCCATACGTATTGCTGTCTAGTATAAACGCATCTCGAGCTAATTGGGGAGATGTTGCAACGCTGAGGAAAGACATGAGGACAAAGAATGTAAGTAAGTTCCCTGGCTGTAGCTGGATTGAAGTAGACAAGAAAGTGCACACTTTCTTCCGTGGAGATTTAAGAAACCATCCCGAGAAAACGTTGATATCGATGATGTTGGAGAAGACAGATGGGTTGTTGATAGAAGCTGGTTATAGTCCTGACTGTAGCCATGTGTTGCATGATGTAGACGAGGAAGAGAAAATGGATAACTTGAGATTGCACAGTGAGAGACTCGCGGTTGCTTATGGACTCTTGAAGCTACCAGAAGGAGTTCCCATTCGAGTCATCAAGAACCTTAGAGTCTGTAGTGATTGCCACGTCGTCATTAAACTGATTTCGAAAGTGACACAGCGAGAGATCATTCTTAGAGATGCAAACAGATTCCATCATTTCAAGAATGGAGTGTGTTCTTGTAAAGATTATTGGTGAGAGACTGATCATCCGTACCCGGTCAGTTCATACTCAACCGAAAAAGTTTTAATTTGGTTTAGTTGGTTCGGTTCAAATTCTATTGGTTTAGTTAAGTCTACAATGTTGCAGGCAATTGTTCACGCATATCAATGCAATGTACAGGCATCACCAACTTGAATCACACAATTATCATATAATAATGGTGTTTCTATTATCTTCTTTGGGAAGTGACCTACACTTTTGTTTTTGGCCATTATATTACAAATAAAGAATATTAAACATATGTTATGTTCCATGTCACTTGTCTTGTTCTGTGGTTTTCATCAAACTTCCGTCCATAGTGGGAAATGATTAAAGTTAGGTTTCCATTTGATTGGATAAAAACAAAGACTGGTTGTTGAGTCACATTTCCTCTATCTCTCAGAATTCACAAGAAATTGATTTCACTCGAAGAACACAAAAGTCTCTCAGATTTCAATATCGGTTTCTCCGAGGTAAAAAATTACGATCCTTTTATTTAATTTGCGCATTTTGTGAACTGGGTTTGATCCACTTTTCTTTTTTTTCCGAATTTTGATGATCAGACCTCTGAAAATTCTGTTATTTACATCAGTTATTGAGATCTGCTTCCTTTCATTGCATGTCCTGATATACAAGTGATTGGTCCAAATCTGGTTGTGTCTTTAGATTGTTAATAAAGAGTTAGTGCCTCCTGTTAACAGCAGCCGCTTTTTTTTTTCTCTATTTTTTTCAGTTGTAGAGATGGGTTCTGAAGGACCAACGGCAGTGACAATTAACATCACAGGCTTCAAGAAGTTCCATGGAGTTGCTGAAAACCCAACGGAGAAAATTGCAAACAACCTGAAAGAATATTTAGTTAAGAATTGTCAGTCGAAAGACGTTGTTCTTGAAAGCTGTACCGTGCTTGAGACCGCTGGTCAAGGAGCTCTGGCTTCTCTTTATCAGTTACTACAGTCCGCGATCAACACGAAGGAATCAGAGTCAGCGAGTTGTGGAAAAACCATATGGGTTAGTTAGTTAAGTTAAGTCAAGATAAGTGATTTCAAGTATCCTGTTTTTGATTTTCTATGGTGAAGAAGTTTGTTTTGATGATTCTTTAGGTTCATTTTGGAGTTAATAGTGGCGCTACGAAATTCGCAATTGAGCAACAAGCAGTGAATGAAGCGACTTTTCGTTGCCCTGATGAATTGGGTTGGAAACCTCAGGTTTTTGTATTTCACTCTCCTTTGGTTGATTCTTGGTTCATTAGTTTGTGTAATTTTATGAAACATTTTTGTGGTCTGCAGCATTTGCCTATTGTTCCCTCTGATGGTCCAATCTCAACCGTAAGAAAGGTAAGTCCACACTGTCTCCTCTGTTCAGCAGCTTCATTGTCTGATCTTCTTATGTTTGTGTACTGATTTGCAGACTACTCTTCCTGTTGAAGAGATAACAAAGGCCTTAGAGAAGAAGGGCTTTGAGGTGATAACATCAGATGATGCAGGTCGTTTTGTGTGCAACTATGTGTATTACCACTCACTGAGATTTGCAGAACAGAACAAGACCAATTCACTCTTTGTTCACGTTCCTCTTTTCATCGCTGTGGATGAGGAGACGCAGATGAGATTCACAGCTTCTCTCCTGGAGGTACTCACTTCTGTTTGCAAGTAATGTTGTCCCAAATGTGGCTGATTCTTGTTCATGAAATGTGCGTGTCATGAAACTGATTTGTCTCGCAACCAAATACCGCTTATCAATAAATGAAATATAAGTTCACTTCTCTACGTATATGCATCATCTCTTTCATGTTTCAGAAGCAAGATTCATTTTCTTCTACAAATGATTAATACACTGAGCTGAAATCTCTTTAGACAATTACTCTTCTTTGCCAAATTCACAGTATGAATCGGCGTTTACAATAGCTTCTCCTACTTGCAAAGTATCTTTTATTGTCTTAATGTTACAAACTTGATTGACTTCAAACCAATCACAGTCCAATGTAGGGTGTATTATAATCTTCTATATTCTTCACTGACATCAAATCTAGCTAGCCTTACGTTTTGTGTGTGTGTTCATATTTATTCTGAATCTGATTCTGAGTCTGGTGAACAACAATGAACACATCTTCTAGTGTCAGCAGCCCGGAAGCGCCTCAAGCAGGCAATTAACAGGTGGGACAGTAATCGTCTCCATGCTTCCGTACGCATTCCAGCAAAATGGGTTTTCAAAAAGCTGGCCTTTGTAAGGAAAGAGGTCAACATCCTCTAGTCTTAAGTTAGTACAAGGGAAAGAGTCGCTGCAACCAAAATGCATAGGTGGGCTTCTCAGATCATAGCTCCCTTTGATATTTGCATACAGGACATCGCTGATGATGACTGCGCTGGTTTGGTTCGCACAGTTCTTGGTTTGGCAGTAATACTGGTCTATCATTATAGGGTTACGAACGTTCACCATCAAAATGTTGCGGAACACGATTCTTGAAACCAAGCCTGACCCTCCTTGCCATGTCTTGATCCGAACACCGTTGTCTGAGTTCCAGATTGTTGAGTTTGTCACAGTAATGTTCGAGACCCATGCACTTGAGTTGTGTACTCCAAGGCTGCCTATGCTGCAGCATTAACCTCTAGGGTTTCGTTATAGTTTCTAAGCTTAATCTGGTTAGTAAAACTTTCATTAAACTTGAGAAAGAGAGGCTTATAATCTCACATGCTGAGAGTTTAAGTCTAATCTATGAGCCGCACATAGAGTTTGGCCAAAAAGTGAGAAATTTTAGGAAAGTGGTACCTAATACCGTGGCTTGGACCGCAAGTAATATTCATAATAGCCACATTAAAGCAGCCGGCTCCGATTGAAACACAATCATCTCCTGTGTATAAACAAATTTAAAAAAAAACTGAAACTAATTTTACGTTTATAAACTTATTGTTATGAAAGTGCAAAAAAAAAAAAAAAAAAAAAAAAAAAA